AAAAAAAAAAAAAAAAGAACAAGAATAAACAGCCATATACATAACATTAAAGACTTAAAAAATAAAAATAAAAATTGCTGAAAGTACAACCAAAACCAGAGCAATACAATATACAGAGTCCAAATTTGTTTACATCAAATTGTCAATGACTTCATGCTGCTAACAAAATTCGTAAAGTTCCCGAATAATGCATCAATCACCAGCATTTCCGAAAACTACATCTTCCCCTGTGTCTGAATAAAAGCTCCAAACGGACAAACAGTTTTCATCACCTAGACATTAGAAAACAAAACAATAACGGTAAATAACCTCCCAAGCGCAAGTCATGCATGCTAATTGCAAGATTCTCCATCAAAGAACAATAAGGGCCAAAATGCATTTATAGTCATGTTGGTTTAACTCCAAACAAACCAAATTTTCGCCTTTTGGTCTGTGATTTAATAATATTTTACTGCAATTTAATGACTTAAATTGCAACAAAATTGAAAGTTACAGGACTTAAATTGCAACAAAATTTTAAATTACGGGACTTAAATTGCTAATCACTACTCCATCCAAAGAAATAAATTTGAAAATTTGATGCAATTTCACTCCTTTGAGGACTGAAATTGCAGCAACATATTAATCACAAGACCGAAAGGCAAAATGTTAGAATCTTTGGACTGAAAGTGCTATGGCGTTAAACAAGGACTAAATATACAATTTAGCCACAATAAGACAACACAAAATATATTTGATAATATATATGAATATAATAATGGTGAAGAATATATTTTGAAGGACTTGGGAAAAATTTAATACCGGTCAAGCTGTTTTTATTCTCTTCAGAGTCATCATCCAAACCTCCATACCGCCTTTGTCCTGAAGATGTGGCTGCCATTGGGAGAAGGGGGTGGAAAGATACCCCATTTATTGTATCTGAAAAAAAAAAGAAAAAAAAACATCACATTGAGAATATAAAATGATAAATATATAAAAACGAAGGCATGAAATGCGATAAAAAGAGAGGCATTTGGAGAGAAGGTGATAGAACACCTGATGCGGCTTGAAAGCTGGATACCCACTCCCCCGTCTGAAGATCATAGATATGTACCAAACCATCCTTGATCGAACAAAAAATTCGACAAAAAAAAAAGTGTTGATGGAATGACTGGCTGTATATGGAAATGTAAAAAAAATGAACATGAGAAAGCTACATGGGTACCTGACCGCCCGTTCCAAGATATCGACCAAAAGGTTCGATATCAAATTGTATCCTCTGGTTGGTACTTTCAGATGACCGATAGAGTCTAAACAGATGTGAGAGAAAAAGAAATGTAACCACTAAACCGTTTCTAACATTTAACACTAAACGAAAATGTATTCAAATGACTCGACTTCCTGATGTACTCCAATACAGTTTTCAACTTCGTGTCTACACTTTTTAACAAATTTTCAATTTTCATGTCAAGGGTTCACAGACAACAAAGAAACTTACTTGTAAACAATATCGACGGTTTTGCGAATATCCCAACAAAGAATATAGGGATCCTGCATGATAAATAATAAAATTGTCATCAAATGCCTCTGTCAACTTTTTTTCACATAACAATTAGGATTTGTTATAATAACCTTACGTCCCCCAGTGTACAAATAATTTCCATCTTTAGAAAACTGAACCTGCGAGATACATGCTATAAATGGTTAGTTACTTTTAGAAATCCGAAAAGGTTCACCCTACAAGATGGAATTTTAAGCCAACTTACTTGGGTAACTCCACCTCCTTGGCCATGCAACACATAAAGCAATTCCATATTATCCTCTCTGTATATGGCAGTTGTTTGGCTATAGGACCCCGCAGCCAACATGCCCGAATTAGTCGGAGAAAAAGCAATTGAAGATATAATGCCTAACCACAAGAAAGAACGAACTTAGTTAAGAGCCTAGTAAAAATGATATGATCGTATAAATGAGGACTAGATTTATAACCAAACATAGTCTAATTATGAAACATTAAGACTAATGAAGGTTGAATCAACACAATTGTTTCGAAGAATGGAATATCACAAAGATGTATGATGTGCTTAAAACCTGACTGCCCTTCTTTGCTTTCTGAAAGAGTTGAATGCTGTCCAAAATCTCTACCCGGCCGATGAACATCGAATATCCTAATAGTTTTGTTGTATCCCGCAAATATCCTGAATCAGAATATAAATATCACTATATCGTCATTGGAGTAAGGATAGGATAACTAAGGATAGGATAACTCAGAAAAGAATTTAAAAAAAAATAATAATAATAATAATAACAAACATAAACTAGTGAAATAACAACAGGCACTTCATAAAAAGCAAACACGCAATGCCAACAAAGATAGTGATCCAAGTTTCACAACGAAGTAACATACTAACAAAATACTTGCCTCCGAAACATTAGATGAACCTCAAAGAATGAACATAACATAACATATTTCTTTACGATGACTCAAAAATTCAACCGAAAATAATAATAGATATAATTACTCTTGGTAACAAAAGAGATGCCCACAAATACACTTGGACAAAGTTCTTTCAACTGAAAATGTCATATGTGACGCACTGATGGACGTTAAGATCAGAAAACCAAGCATAATGCCATCAGGATAAGAACATAAATGCATAATAGTGTTAATCACAACAAACTCTTAAAAATAGATGGTAGCCAGTCCCTGAGAGCTTATCGTGGACGGTATATAAACAGACGAAAGATACTAAAACAAACTTATAGCACGTATACATTTTTTCAAATGCCAAAACAGAGTAAAATATAAAGTGACTCTTGGTAATCGAAAGTGGTTAAGTCTAATTAAGGTCTTATCCTTAGGCCAACTAAGTTAACATGAGATTGATCTCCATAATTGCAGTCCACATAATATTAAGAAATGGGCAGTTGAGTGACAAATGACAATATTATAACAACTAATCCATCGATATCACACGAGCATGATTTCTTAACACGAACTTGCATGCAAATGCTTACTTAGTCCCATCAGGGTTGAAGCCAATTGAAAATGCAGCAGTAATTTCATCCACGGCATCATAGGCACGATAAGTGCAGCGTAGCTGTATTTTCCATTTCACAAGTACTTGTTACTGACATCAAGCAGTAGTATAATAAAAAAGTAGTACACAAATCAAGTTGGCGTGTAGATGGTACCTGTCCAGAGTTGGCATCCCAAAGATGAATAGGATGGTCGCGTGTAGACGTTGCAAATACGCATGAATCTGGACCTGTAGCAGTCACAATCACATGCTAAATTATACCCTAAAAATCTGACATTTGGAAAAGACAAAATCATGCGGGGAAGATGTACTTGAAGCAGACATGTAGGGGTACCAGCAATAGTCATACACAGCTTCTCCCTCGCCAATGACTAGGTTTGCCTCATAAGAGTCTGAAAGAAAGTTGAAAGCATTGAGGAATGTTCAGAGAGAAAAGAACACAGCCGTCACAAGAGTTTGGAATAAAAGAATCATCAGATAAAATCTATCTCATGAATAAGATAAGGGAAGAAATTAACTCCTACTTCACAAACTAAAGATCCATACTCTAGTTGAATTTTAAATTCACATTCTAAAATTGAAAGGTATGTTTATCGTAAAACAACAAAACAACATTCTCAAGTCAGACAATTGTTTAATGATTAAGCCTTAGTTAACTATGGGTGTCAAAACTTATAGAAGTGACAATAACATCTGTCCATGAGAACCAAGAAAATCAAAATGTTTAACACTATAAAACTAACTAAACCAAGCATAACGTATGGAATCTCCAGAGTTCAAGAAACGTAGGCTACCAGAATCCGACACAGGAACGTTTGCAAGGCTACCAGTTTCATCATAAGGCCTACAAGAAAAATAAAGAAATCAGGTAAAACACTCAAACATAATCAACATGAAAAAGACTGCTTCAAAAAATTCTACTAGCTGGGGCAATAGCCTTACAAACTGAAAACTCGGAGCTTATTGTCGTCAGAGCAACTTAAGAAGCAAGAGCCATCGGGTGACCTAATAAATATTTGAAGAACAGAAATAAAATTAGCATATTAACTTAGCAAGACAGTGAAGATGTCAGACAACCAGTTCAAAATGCAACCATTTTCCTGTAGAATTCGAGATCAATAGAACATTTTAATGTAAGAAAGTTCACCATTTGACGCCCTTGAGGAAGTTGTTAGGGTTTGAAGCAGTAGTTCTGAACTGCCGGTAGAAATGGTAGGTCCTGTACGGGGGGACGTCGTAGCGAACCACCGGCCAAGAGTTCGAGCCATCGGAAATCTCGACGTCAGCTCCTGTGGCGGATTCCGGCGGGCAACGTGACTCTTCCCCAGCTTCTTCGCCCATTAGTCCTCCGCAGAAGGTGGCTTTGCCGCCAAATGTTGCAACATAGATTAGAGGACCTCCTTGTATTTATCCTGGGCCTAGGCCTGAGCCTGGTCATGGTTTTGGGCCTGCCTTGTCATTCAGCATCGACCAATGCTGGCCCAACGTCTTATTATGTATTTAGAAGGTATTTAGAGGTGTATTCATAGTGATTTTTAAAGATTTCATTGAGATTTTATGTATTTGCAGCTTGAACTTTTTGAACTTGTAAAAAAATTCAATTGAGATTTTAAAAAATCTTAAAATTATGATTTATTAGACAATTATATTTTACTAAATTTTATTCAATTTATTTATTACTCGACTCTATCTTAATTTTGTAAGACTCGCTAACATTTCAAAAACAAAAATCTATATGAAATGGTGTCAAATATAACCTCCAAACATAAGATTTTTAATTCCTCCTAAATTTAAAAATTTAAAAAAAAAAACTCAAATTTCAAAAAGTATTAGAATATCTTTCAAAATTAATATGTTGTTTTGCAGCTAGTTATTTTGCCCCATATTAATTTTATGAACAAAAACAACAAAAATGTGAATCATTTTTCAACTTTAATTTAAATTAAAATTTATTTATTTACCTTTGATGACATCTATGAGACAATGATATTTACTTAGAATAGTAACTAAAAATCAGTAAAAAAAATATTTTGTTTTGCGCCTAAAAATTCCAATTTACTAAATTGGGAATTTAAATTCCAATTTTTTTGGCCAAATATTTTTTTGGCACTACAAAGAATATTTAATATTTAAACATTATAAAATTATTTAATACAATATGAAATTATATTCTCGACAATATTCTATTCAGTAATAATATGACATTTATTTATTTACTGTTATTTAATTTCTATTTTTGTATATATTTTTTTGTAGTTTTTAACTATTTAATATATAAAATTTATTATTTATAAGTTTATAAAATATTATAAATGTATAAGATCATATGATATTTGCATACAAACTACTTGTATATATTTATAAAATTGTCGTTTATCATAGTCTTATAATATTTTTTAACAATTCATAATTTGCACGTTGCTTGATAATTAACCAATGTTTAACCCATAATATTTATCTTTTACTATTATTATTAAGTGCATTAAATTTTAAAAACTTTGATAAATAATTTTTTATTTTTATTTACTTTAATCCTTATGCAACACACAATTTTTTTATAGTTAAATATTTTATTTTGTATTTATATTTATTTCCTTAATTCATTTTTTCACCTATATAATGAATTACATAGTATCTATTCGGATATTTAGAAATATTATATATTCTTATAATTACCAATTGCTATAATTTAAATTATTATACACTTCTTTTTATGAACTTATTTTCATTTAAAAAATATTATATAAGAAAAATATATATATTTTTAAAAGTTAAATAAGTTTTTAATTTACATAGATACTTTTAAGGTGAAATTTATAATTCAAAAATTGCACCCGACCATCAAATTTTATTTTTGTAGTATATTATTTAAATTTTCAGTAGTATTATCACTTCCTATGATATATATATTCAATGGGGATGTACCTTTTATAGTTAAATTGACCACATTTTAGAAATTTTTATTAATATTTTAAATTATTTATTAAGTTATTATGATTTAAATATAGTTATTCTGATTATTTTATTAAATATTTTAAATACTTCTGAATAGTGAATATAATTAATTTAAATTAATACCTACAACTATAGATGATAATATATTTAATCAAATAAATTTGCATAATAATTTTTGAATTGTATCAATAAATTACTATTAAATCAATATAAGATCTTATTAAAAATATACTTAATAAATCTACGGTCAAAATTTCAATTTAAGCTAAGTTGTATTTAATGAGTAATATTCATTGAGTGTATAAAAATTAATTATGTTTTTCATGCATAAGATTTGCTAATAAATAAATAATAATTAAATGCCAAATATAGACAAAAAAAAATCTCGCCCAAAATCATGTCGATTATGGCAATAAGGATAAGTCCATTATATAGATATAGATTAGTTGCATGGCTTAAATTTGTATATAATATATTAAAAATTAAAAATAAAATATTTTTATTTAAAAATATAAATTAAAAAAATAATTATTCATAACTTACGGGACAATATTAACTTGGACGTAAACGAAATAGTCAATTATTTATAGTTTAATAAATTACTCAACTACTAATTTTTATTTAAATATTTTATACAAAAATTAATTATTTTAAGTAATGAAAACAATATAAATTTTATATTTATACTTATTATTCACATAGGTTGTTAAATATATGATAAATTTTTACCAAAATAACTATTTTATGAAATCACATTATAGTCAAACCAAATTTTTGAATAAAATTTTGAAATGGCACTTATTTTGAAATGAATATAAAATAATTTATTGTCAGTTATGTGCACCGTGCGGGTTGTGTATTTATTTTAAATATACATTTAAACTTTATATAATATTTACAATAAATTAATATAGGTAAATTATATTACATATTGATTCTATATTATTAATTTATAAATATTATTTAATAAGAATTTTAAATTTATAAATTTTAATGAATATCTCTTACTTATGCACTGCACAAAACTCATACTAGTATTTTCAAAATATTTGATACTAATTTAAAAGGTCAATTAGTTTATTTATTATTCATAAGTGTTGTTATTTCTTAAAGATGGAGACATGTTTGTGTAATTGTCATAAAGTAATTATGCTTTTAAGGTAAGTTTTGTTGTATTAATAAATAATGTGACACTTCTTTGAAAGTTATTTAAATTTAGATTTTTAAAAATTGTCGCTATATGGGTAAACACGACGACATTATTTATTGAATAAATGTCATAATTTTTAAATAGCGTCTCAATATAAGTTAACAATTGCAACAATTTTTTTAAAAAAAAAAATCACATATTTTAAATTGTCATCATTATTTTAACTTTGTAATGCTTTGTAAAAAACGCCGCTATTATTTGAACACTATAACATTTTTTAAAAGCTTTGCTACAATTTTTGTTTTGATTACACTTATTAGAAAAATAACCATATTTATGTTGCTAGAGGTTCTTTGGTAACACATTATGGCTATTGAAGTATATGATTTAATTTTATGTGTATAAATCAAAGAGTAATTATTGTAAGGATGGTTGTATTATAGGAGAATACTATCATCCCGTTATGGGATGGTTCTGTTATGTATTTTAGCCGTAGAT